TCCCAGATCTCCAGATGCATTTGAGATATCAAAAAAGTACTCCAGAGTGTTGTTCAGCATGGGGGTGAGTAGAAAATGAAGGCTAATCGTGTTTTGGGTGTACTATTCCTTTAAGGATCTACATTGAAGCTGTTAAGAAACCAATAGATGTTTAGAAAACATTTAACCCTGTTTTACACAATTTAAGATTCAATTCATGGATAATCTAAAGAATACTTTGAAATTATTTTAAAATAAGTTTAGTTTTTTTTTTTCCTAAAAGTAAACTGTATTTGTAGTTTACTTGTATCCTCTCCCCACTGAAAGTGATAAAAGTTCTTCAATCTTTAAGAATAACCATCTTGGCGCTGATTCTTCCTTTAAAATCCCCTCGTCAGACTTAGTAGCTTTGAATGTCAGTGTATGAAAGGAATGTCATTCCCATGTGGACCCTTGCATGTTCTATGTGTCTGAAATCATGTGTGTGTGTCTTAGTAAGTGGATGTATGTGTGTGTGTGTGAATCTATGTGCGTGGCTCTATATGTGAGAAACTGGTCAGGACCCATCCTGGTCTTGGAAGAGAAAGTGTCTCTTTTGGAGCATTGATCCTCTCCAACTTGCAAAACAGTTCAATGTTAGAAGTCCATCAGGTTACCCTCTGTTACCATGGATATTTATTGATTCACTTCTTGGGAATCACATTCAGTAGCAGGATATATCTGAGTAGATCTGTTAAATGTTAAAGCTGTCTTCATGAAACTGATCAGATCATCTCTCTCCTTTCAGGTGTCCAGAGAGTCTTCGTCCAGACACTGTAAGACCGTGTTTGCTTCCCTGCAAAAGAGACTGCATGGTTACACCGTACAGTGACTGGAGCTCCTGCCCACCGACTTGTCAGAAAGGTATTCAGACCAAAAAGTGCTTCACACGCTGCTACTAGAGCCAGACTCATCAGGTTCAACACAACACATTTTAACCCCTTAAAGGAAAAGTCCGCTCAGCAAAGAATAATCAATGGATCATTATTTATACCTAAAACTAAAACATTCGCTG